CTCTCTCTCTCTCTCTCTCTCTCTCTCTCTCTCTCTCTCTCTCTCCCCTTCTTGCCTGGAGAGTTATCTCTGCTGAGAAAGGTTTTTAAGATTTTATTTTGGCTAAGAAATGCCAAACACAAAAGTCATTGCTCCTTCTTGATACATTTTTGGGCCCAGATGTCTAGATCATGGTAAAAGGAATAGTTGTCAGCCATACAGACTCCTGCTTGTGCTTGCATTTGTAAGTGCTGCCTCCCTATTGACAGTAGATTTCCCTCTTCTTACAAATGAATGGTGCTATGCCAGGTCTGGTGGTGCATGTCTGTAATCCCAGCACTCAGAAGGCCAAGGCAGGATTGCCATGAGTTTGAGGCCAGCCTGGGCTTTCATAGTGAGTTCAAGGCCAGCCTGAACTACATAGCGAGACCCTGTCTAAAAATAAAACCAGATGAACAATGCCAAGATGTGTGCTGCACCACAAGGCTGGGCATGGTAAGGTAAGCTATCATAGCCACTTCTGACACCAAATCCTTAACACAGCTTTGAAAACCAGTGCTAGTATGTGCTGAGCAGAATGCATCGTCATGCGGGAGCTTGGCAGACACCAACAAAGGACTACTCAGAGCTCAGGGGCCAACTGTCAGAAAACAGATTCAGATTCTTTTTTTTTTTGATACTGGAGATTGAACTCGGGTCCTTGCACTTGCAAGGCAGGCCACCGAACCGCTGAGCTAAATCCTCGGCAATTAAACAGGTTCTTTAAAAAGATAAATTGAGGGCTGGGGATTTAGTTCAGTGGTTTCACCGCCTGACTTGCAATCACAAGGGTTAGAATTTGAACCCCATTACCAAAAAAAACAAAACAAAACAAAATAAAAAGATAAATTGATCTTGGCAGACCTGCAATCCCACCTCCCAAGAGGCTGAGACAGGAAGATTGCTGCTCTGAATCATATATATATATATAGTGATACTCTTGATTGTATAGTGAGTTCAAGGCCAGACTGAACTGTATATTAAGACCCTATCTCAAAAAGGAAAAAAAGAACTGATCTTATGAAAGCAATAATAACATCTAATTTTTTTTTTTTTAGGACATGTGTACTGTATTACTGTTACTTAATTTTAGTTGAGTGTAGTAGTGCACACCTGAAATTCTAGCACTTTGGGAGGAGGCAAGATCTGGAGATGTAGCTCAGTGTGTAAGTACTAGGTTCATTCCCAAGTATGGGGGGGTGGTCTCAAACCCTATAAAGTGAGTAATTCCGTGGTCAGAAGCATGGGTTGTTGCAGCCATTACACGGGACAGTGAACTGGAACCTGGGCCTGCCTCACTCAGAGCACAGCACATAACCATTTATTAACGACAGGCTTTAGTGAGAGCACACTATGGACGCTTTGTGAGTCATTCGTAGAAGTTTCTCTTGCATAAGCCTAGTCAGAACTGTTTACCAGTCATTTAGGAAAGGGGGTAAATGTGTATACAATTGTAGTTTTCAGAAAATTGAATTTACTAATTCAATTAGTAAAAACTTAGTAGTTTGTGTCTCCCCCTATAGGAAGAGGCAGGGACTACAGTTGTCAGCAGTTTTGGTAACATTTGTTCCAGAATAATACATCTCTAACTCTCCTCAATCCTATGTATTCGCTCTGTGAGATACAATTTCCAAAACCATTGATTTATACTTAGCAGCATCTGTGGTTATTTCTGGCTTTAAAAAAATATATATGATTTTTTTACTTAAATGTTTTGAACAAAAATGGCTAACAGTTGGTTTTATAAATTTCCCTGTTTAGCTCAGTGGCACCACACCTGCCTGGCAAGCGTAAGGTCCTGAGTTTAATTTCTGGTACCCCCCGCACCAAAAAATGCCCTGTTTGAAAAGTCTTTGGTTAATATTCTGGGTGTACATGCTTATACAGTATCTGGTTTTATTAAAGGTCAGGGCACCAAGAATGAACTTTTATTTATTTATTTTTTTAAGAATGCACTTTTAAAAGTTGAGCTCTTTGGGTGGGGGATTATCTCAGTGGTGCTGCGCCAGTCTCACAAGTGCAAGGCCCTGAGTTCAATCCCTGGTCCTGGGGAAAAAAAGAAAGTTGAGCTCTGCAAACTGGAAAACAGATACTAGGAAATAGGAAGAACTTGTTCAAATGAGAACAGGAACAAGACATGGAAAATGAGCTTTTGTAAAGAGGGGGAAAAGTGTTGGAAGGAGGAGAGGGAAGGGGACAAAAATAAAATTTTTAAAAAGGTTAATTTTCTGAAGCTAAGAGTGCTGGTGCATGCCTGTAATCTTAGCACTCAGGAGCCTGAGGCAGTAGGATTACTAGAAGTCCTAGGCCAGCATGGGGTACATAGCGGCTTCAAGATCAGCCTGAACTACCTAGCAAGACGCTGTCTAAAACACAAAACCAGCCGGGGATTTACCTCAGTGGTTCTTCTGTCTGTCTCAAAAGTGCAAGATCCTGAGTTCAATCCCTAGTACAAAAAAAAAAAAACACACAACAAATCATTGAGTAGTTTAGTGACAAAAAAATGAACTTGGTGGCCAGGACTTGAGATTGTCCAGGTGACAGCCATTATCTGTTCAAGTGAAACCCCACAGAGTTAGAGGGAGTAATAAAGGAGCATCACAGTTAATCTTTGTCAGGTCATCAGGTTCACATTGTACTAATGATGGTCCTCTACCTCATTCCTGACTCAGCCTCTGGAATTCCTCAGAAATGCTTGTCTTCCTCTTCTGCCAAGATACGTTCTGTCCTAATAACTGTAGTCCTGGTTGCCCTCAAGGTGCAGCTTAGGTCTCTTTGTTCCTAGGATAGCTGCTAAAGGACTCCCCCTTCTGTGATTGCAGGTACGAGATCTATATTACCTCCACAGATGGCTCAGAGTGTGTCACGCTTCCAGTCTACTTCAGGGAAAGGAAGTCCAAGGCGGCAGGCACTTCCACTGGGGCAGTGCTATATGGGCAGCCACTGCTGGTGTCTATCCCTAAGCACAAGCTGACCCTGGAGTCTTTGTATCAGGCTGTTTGTGATCGCATCAGGTTGGTGGCAGGAACACAGTTGGGTTGTTATATAAGATCAAAAGGTTCAGGTACTGTGGTTCATACACTCTGGCAGGCTGAGGCAGGAGGACCACAAGTCTTCACCTATCCCAGGCAATCCAGTGAGACTATCTCAAAATAAAAAATAATAAAAGGGTTGGTATGTAGCTCAGTGTGAAGCCCCTGGGTTCAATCCCCAGTACCAAATAAAAAGCCTGGCGTTGTGGCACACACCTGTAATCCCAGCACTCAGGAGCCTGAGGCAGGAGGATCGTTGTGAGTTCGAGACCAGTCTGGGCTACATAGTGAGTTCCAGGTCAGTCTCAGCTACATAGTGAGACCCTGTCTCAAAAAACCAAAAACAAAAACAAAAAAAAACTCAGCAGTAGTAGTGACAATCCCGCAGAGGGTCTGTGTGGACCCCAGGTGCTCACCCCTTCAGCAGATAAGCCAAGCTTGGAAAGGTGCATCTCACATGCTCTCCCTGCTATGTGAAATCTGAAAGAGATCACATGAAAGTAAAGAGACTATCATTAGTTAAGAGGAAGGAGATGAGGAGGGAAGGGGGATGTAAAAGGAGGTATTGAGGGGAAGCTATGTCGTTAGGAGATCATAATGTTGACATTAATTTATTGAAGTAAAAAGCTATCTGCGTTAAGTGAAACAGGTTACAAAACTATATGTGGGATTGCCAACTTTTATTTTTAAAAATGCATTTATACACCACACCTCACAAACACAAGGTCCTGAGTTCAATCTCCAGTACCAAAAATAAAAATGCATTTATATGTGATACCAAGAAATTATCCAAACTGGGAGTGGTAGTGCATGCCTGTAAATCCTATCACCACTCTGGGAGGCTGAAGCAGAAGGATCATAGCTCTAGCCTGGGAAGCTTAGTGAAGTAGTGAGACCCTGTCCCCTGTCCTACCCCCCAAAAAATAGTAATTATTTGATATATATATATATATATATATACACACACACACATATATATTTTAAGATCTAAACATACACTTTTTTGTGTGTTTGTTGGTTGGTTTTTTTTGAGACAGGGTCTTACTGTGTAGTTGAGACTGACCTGGAACTCACTGTGTAGCCCAGGCTGGTCCAGAACTCACAGCGACCTCCTGCCTCAGCCTCCAGAGTGCTGGGATTACAGGTGTACACCACCACGCCTGGCTTCTAAACATATAATATTTAAGAAGGGCTATAGGTGTAGTTCAATACTAATGTCCTGGGTTTCCTTCCCAGAACTAGGGGGGAAAAAATCTAGATTGGTATTCACTTAACCTTTTATCTCTTTGGGAGTCAAATCCTGAGCACATTCTTTTTATTGTAAGAATATTTTGTGGCCTTGTTTGGTGTTATACTTCTGTAATCCCAGCACTCTGGAGGCTCAGGGAAGAACATTGTCTGTATTTGAGTCCAGACTGGGCTACATTGTGAGTTCAAGGCCAGCCTGAACTGCATAGTGAGACCGTGTCTCAAGTAAGAAAGATAATTTTTGACTTGTGCTATTATAAAATGTTTCTCTTTCCTTTTTTTTTCTTTTTTTGTTAGTAAATTTTAATTTCTTCCACATGGAAGGCCACATAAGGTAGAAGACAACTTGCAAATTACTATAAAATGTTTCTTTAAAATAGGAAATTAAGAGGCCAGGGGTTTAGCTCAGTGGTGCCACTTGCAAACACAAGGTCCTGAGTTCAATCCTCGGTACCAAAAAAAGAAAGGAAATCAAGAATTGCTAGAAGTATATGAACTGATGGCTGTTTTAGCTTGGTTGTTGGAATCATTTCACAACATTTTTTTTATTCACAACATATAAATAACTCAACATCATGTTGTACCCCATAAATATATATGATTTTGTCAGTTAAGAGATACAGGGCTGGGGATTTAGCTCAGTGGCACTGCGCTTGCCTCACAGTTACAAGGTCCTGAGTTTGATCCCCAGTACCAAAAAAAAGAAAGAAAGAAATGCAACTGTGCTGACCCCCGGGTGGCCCAGGCAGGTGTCACTGGGATGGCTGTCTAACCCATCTTAGGTGTCCTGGTCCTGAGCCCCAGACCTCTCCTCAGTCCTCTGTGTGTTCAGAAGGCTGGTACTTTAATTCTGTCTCTGGAGTCAGGTGCAGTGGCACTTGGAAGGCTGAGCCAGGAATATGGCAAGTTCAAGATCAGCCTGGGCAGCTTAGTGAGACCCTGTCTTAAAACATAAAAAGGGCTGGGGATGTCATTCAGTGCAAGGCCCTTGTTCAATCCCCAGTACTAGGCGTGGGTGGGAGGACAACAGCTGTCTCTGAGTTTTCGTACTATAGTTCTGATGCTAATAATTATTAGCATTACTGGAAAATAAGAAGTTTCTTTTGTTTGCTTTATTTTCAGTGATGGTGATTGAACCCATGCTAGGCAAGTGCTGTCACTGAGCTATGTCCCAGTTCTGTTTAACTATTTTATTTATGCGTACATGTAGTGGAGGATTAATCCAGGGCCTTCCCACTATGCTGCACTTCTGGCCCTTTTTAAACATTTATTTTGAGACAGGCTAGGCTCAAACTTGCAACCCTCGTTCCTCAGCTTCCCAGATTGTGGAGATTATAGACGTGCATGACTCATGCCTCATTTAAAATTTTTATTTTATGCTGGGCGTGGTGGCACATGCCTATAATCCTAGCACTCAGAAGAGGCCGAGGCAGAAGATCTCGTGAGTTTGAGGCTAGCCTGAACTACAGAACAAGACATTGTCTCAAAAAAAAAAAAGTAAATAAAAATTTTATTTTGAGACAGGGTCTCATTAAATTGCTTAGATTATTCGCAAAGGCTTGATCCTCCTGCTTTGGATTCCTGAGTAGCTTGGATCACAGATGTGTGCCCCCATGTCCCACAGCTGGGAGCACTTTAGAAGTGATCGTGCCATATGGCATTCATAGAAGACTTGAAGCAGTCTTTCCTGGGGTTTTCGTTGGCTTGATAGGTTAAACATCTGATCTCAGGTTCCTCTCCGTTTCATAAAAGTATTGAACCATTACATGATTTTAAAAGTGCTTTTATGTACATAAATTGCTTTGTGAATAGCTGAATATAAAAATTATGAACTTCGTAGCTGCATAGTGGAGGAAAATCGTAAAATGTTAAAACTAACAGTCCTTTCTTTCATATTTTGTAAGCCGCTATATAAAGCAACCTTTGCCTGACGAGTTTTGCAGCTCGCCCTTGGAGCCTGGGGCCTGCAATGGCTCCAGGGGCAGCTGTGAAGGTGAGTGCTGGCCATGCTGTGGGGCTGGGATGAACCACAGTGTGCCTAAGACACCTGGGAGAGGGAGGCTGGGGGCTCTGCCTGCAGGAGCAGCTCTCTGTGCTGCCAGCCTCCAACCTGCTCACATAGGTTGGGTCTAATCCCACACGCTGAGCCACCAGGGGCTGAATGACTTGCCTCACATCAGAAAGCAGAGTCAGGATTGCCAAGTAGGTGGCTGTCTGCCCTACAGCTACCTCTTCGACCAGACTTCTCTTGGTAAATCTGTTGTTATCTTGGCGCTTAAGTGCTGCCAAGCCTATTTGGTGAGCCTTCAGTCTTTAGGGAGGACAGATTGCTGGCCATTCAGCCAGAACGTGGGAAGAAAGGCTGTCTTGGACTTTCCTTATATTTCTCCAGGAAGCTCCAGGTAGTAGGTGATCCAAGGCAGCTGCTGCTATGAAACAGAAGGAAGTCATAGTCCAAAAAGCAGTATAGGACCAACCAGGGATTTAGCTCAGTGGTTCCACTGCCTGCCTTGGCATGCCCAAGGTCCTGAGTTCGATCCCCAGTACAAAAAAAAAAAGCAGTATAGTGGACTTATCATAGGGAACCCAGAGGCTTTGTTCTCTCCTGTGGCTGGGTGCTGACCAAGACCATATCTGACCAAGGGCCATGACTGATCTGCAGTATAGTTATCACTTTTCTTTTGGGACTTTAGGTGATTCCATGGCTTTATTACTATAAAACCAAAAGTGAAACTGGGTGTGGTGGTATAGGCCTCTAATCCCAGCACTATAAGAAGCTAAAGCAGGGGAATCACAACTTTGAGCCCAGCCTGGTAAGTGACTTAGACCATATCTGAAAATAAAAAATTAATAAAAGAGCCAGGTGTGGTGGTACACAAATGTACTCCCAGCCCTTGGGAGGCTGAGGCAGGAGGAGTGCCATGAGTTTGAGGCTCGCCTTGGCTACATAGTGAGACTCTGTCTCAAAAAAAAAAAAAAAAAGTTTAAAGGGCTGGGGATGTAACTTGATGGGTTTAGTTCCCATTGTCATACACACAGAAAACAAAACAACCCATAAAAGACTTCTGGGTTAGTATTGTAATTTCTTAATTGCAAAATTCCCCAGATATCTCCAAGAAACACTTAGCCCTAGAAAGTAAGAGTTGATGTTAAAAATTACTAAATTTTAAAAAATCCTCTGAAAACAGGTACCTACCACTGCCTGCTTCATAAGCACAAGTACCCGAGTTCGATCCCCGGTACACAACAACAACAACAAAAAAACCAGGCACCTATAATTCCAGCATATGAGAGACTGGGACGGGATGGCAAGTACAAGATGAAGATCAGGCTTAGCTACAAGACAAGTGCCTGTCTCAGAAAAACAAAAGAAGGGAAGGGAGGGAGTGAAGAAATGAAAATGACCACAAGGCTTCATTTTTAGTATTCAGTGTATGTCTTTTCTGGAGGAACAAAATATTTGTACTTTGTATTTTTATTCCTTTTAATACTTGGAAATTGACCTAGTATATTGTGTGGTTGTACTGGAGATGGAGCCCAGGACCTTGAGCATGGTAGGAAGGCATTTTATCAGTGGTAGTGACCCACATCCCCATCACTTTGTCTGTTTTTATTTTGAGACATTTCTTTTTTTTTTTTTTTTTAGACAGGGTCTCACTATGTAGTTGAGACTGATCTGGAACTCACTATGTAGCCCAGGCTGGTCTCAACTCACAGCAATCCTCCTGCCTCAGCCTCCTGAGTGCTGGGATTACAGGCGTGTGTTACCACACCTGGCTGTTTTGACACATTTCTTACCAAACTCTCTCCTTGAGCACTGCGTGTGTGTCTCACTGTGATCCTTTTCTCTCTGTGAATCTAATCATGACATCAAAAATTAGACCATGTAGTATGAAGTTTTGCACACACCAGAGAGTGTGGCCAACTTAGGATGGAGACAGAGTCATTTCACTCTGGAGACAGATTCATTTAAGCTCTCTGGGCCTCTGCTTTCTCATTGAGAATATCAGTGCTCACTCTGCTTGTCTCTTCTCCCCCAGGAAAGGGTTACATGTAAACTCAAGTATCTGGTAAATACAGAGGGAGTCCCACGTAGTGCAAAATCTGGAAGGAAACATCAAGTATTAAAATTTGTAATATTGAGCCAGGCCAATAAAAAACAAAAACAAAATTTATATTATTGAAATGGTAATCAGTAATATATATAATGCTACCTCATTTCACAAACTTAATTTGTTCCATGATTTTGGGAAAGATGACCATGTTTGTGTGGGAAAGATGGCCACATTCATGTTTGTCACCTGGTGTGAGTTTATAAGCAAAAACAAAATTTTGCTAAACATTTTTATTTACAAACCAAATTGTTCACAAGCAGACGTGTTTGTGAACTGAGGTACCATTCTACATTGTTTTTCATTTGTGTTTTAGGAGATGACGAAGAAGAAATGGATCATCAGAATGAAAGCAAAGAGCAGCTTTCAGAGCCTGAAGGCAGTGTGGAGGACAACTTGGGAGGTGAACCTAGTGAGGCCACCCGAAAGAAGATCAAAGGCCACCCCTGCCCGAAAAGGCTTTTCACTTTCAGTCTTGTGAACTCCTATGGAACAGCTGACATAAATTCACTTGCAACTGATGGGAAACTACTCAAACTCAACTGTAAGCACATCCCTGACCTTTCAGGCTAGGCTGTGGGAACCCTGGATCTGTTTGCAAATCCTTGCCATCAAAGCTCGCTGCTTTAGGATTCACAGTCTCCCTGTGGCTGTAGGAGCATACACCTGTGTGACCTGTGGCTGGAAGCCCTCTGCGGAGTGTTTAAGCACTCAGCCTGTGCAAGGCTCTTCCCTGTGTTCCATGGTGACCAGACAGGAAGCACCTCTCTCCACTCTCACTGCTCTGTAGGATCTTGGCTATGGGTCAAGAATACTTTCTGTGGCTGCCCTAGATTTATTTTACATATGAGAATTAACTGTAACTTTTTCTTTCATAAAAATACAGAAACCTGGGCATTTTGGCACACTCTTGAAATCCCAGCACTTTGGGAAGTTGAGGCAGAAGAGTCTCAAAGTTCAAGCTCAACCTGGGCAACTTAGTGACCTAACAAGACCCTATCTCAAAATAAAAATGGACTGGGGATGTAGCTCAGTGAGGAGGTCCTGCAAGAGTCCTACACATATACACACACACACTCTCTCTCTCTCTCTCTCTCGCTCTCTCTCTCTCTCTCTCTCTCTCTCGGGCTTTTAAGCTAAGAGTCTGAATCTGGTACTCACTTCTCTATCTTAACTGAGCCCTGCTGGAATTCTGGATCGTGGCTTGGAGCTCATCGGGAGCACTGAGGAAGTCTTTGTCAAAGGCTTTTGGGGGGTGGGGCTGGGACCCACAGCCAAAGCACTGCTCTTGGCAGTAGCTGGTGATGGGTGATCAGGTGTGGGCAGTGCTGCCTGAGTGTGGCATTTACTCTGGTCACTTGAGCCTCATGCTGCTGGCCATTTAATGAGTGACACTGTGGTCCCCTCTGCAGCTCGATCCACACTGGCCATCGACTGGGACAGTGAAACCCGGAGCCTTTACTATGATGAGCAGGAATCTGAGGTACGTCATGTGGGGTTCGTGGTCAGTGGTGTGTGTCAGCTTCTGCTCTGAATGTGTGCCTGAATCACTCAGCAGCCGGACAGCAATAAGTTCTGTTTAAGATTGAAGATGTACTCAGTAGGCTGGGGCAGAAAGATTACAAGTTTGAGATTAGCCTGAACTACATAGTGAGAACTTGTCTCAAAAGATAAAAAAGGCCGAGGGCTGGGGATTTAGCTTAGTTCCACTGCCTTCCTTGCAAGCACAAGGTCTCAAGTTTGATCCCTGGTACAAAAATAAATAAAGGCAGAGCATGTAACCCAGTGCAAAAACTCTGGATTCAGCCCTCAGTACTTAAAAGATAAAACTGAGGATGAATAGTACTTAAGATTTGTCCTTTTATGTTGTGAGGCTTCGGGAAATAGTCTGTCCAGGTACACTCTTCTGTAGGTCATGGGGTTTTTTTCCTGTTGTTTTTTACTTGTTTTTTGAAGTAAAACCTTTTTTGGTACATTTTAGATATACATAATGATAACATTCATCGTAGGGAATTTATACCTGTACATGATATATCTTACTTCTTTTTTTATTTCCCATTTCCCCCTTCGACCCCTTTTCCTCTCCTTATTTATAAAAGTTTTGTTTCCATTTTTCCCTTCTATTCTTTTTCTTTCCTTCCTTTTCCTTCTCCCCCTCCCTGTTCCCCTTCCCATTTGAACATTCGCTTCCCTTTTCCCAATATCTATTATACATCTTGGTCCTTATTTCCCCTTCTGATTTCTCACACCACAGAAACAATGTAGTATTGAAATATATGTGTCCAGTTTATCTGGTATGGTCTCAAGGTGCATCCAGTTAACTAGAAATGTCTCAGCTTATCCTTTATGGCAGAGTACTACTCCATTGTATTAAAAAAGCACATTCTTATCCATCGATCAGTTGATGAGCATTTGTGCTGTTTCCAAGATCTAGCTATTACCAACTGTGCTGCTATAAACATGGGTGTGCATATGTCACTGTGGTATGAGCCTTTTAATTTGAGGGGAAGATAACAAGAAGGGTAATAGCTGGGTCAAGTAGAACCTCTAGGTTTAGATTTTTTTTTTTGGGGGGGGGTACCGGAGATCAAACTTAGGTCCTTGCACTTGCAAGGCAGGTGGCAGAACCACTAAGTTAAATCCCTGACCCTCTAGTTTTAGATTTTTGAGGAATCTACACCAGTTTACACAGGGCTTTCCCAGTCTACACTCCCACCAACAGTGGAGAAGGTTCCTTTTTCCCTCCAGCTCTGCTAGTATTTATTATTGATTGATTTTTTGATAACAGCCATTCTTTCTGGAATGAGATGGAATGTCAGTGTTGTTTTCATTTGCATCTCTGGAATGACCAGTGATGTTGGACATTTTTGCATATATTTATTTGCCATTTCTACTTCATCTGAGAAGTTTCTGTTCATTTCAGGTGCCCATTTTTGGATTAGGTCTTCAAATTTAGGGGGGTCTGATATTTTGAGTTCTTTATATAATCTAGACATTAGTCCTTTGGGGAACAGCTAAGAAAAGGTTTTTTCCCACACTGTGAGTTGTCTCATCTCTCTGTTGGTGATTTATTTTGCTGTTGCAAAAGCTTTTTAATAAGATGATATCCTAGTTGTTGATTCTTTGTGATATTTCCTGTGTGATTGGGGTTTTGTTCATAAAGTCTTTGCATAGGCCACGTTTTGAGCTGGGAAGATCCGGCTTCTCCACCAGCACGTAGCACTTTGTCTCTGCAGGCCTATGACAAGCACATGAGCATGGTGCAGCCTCAGAAAAAGAAGAAGACCTCGGTGGCTCTGCGAGACTGCATTGAGCTTTTTACCACCATGGAGACCCTTGGCGAGCATGACCCCTGGTATGGAGCTCCACAACCCCATGGGTCACAAGCTCTGTGTCCTCAGACATATCACTTCTGAAACACCAGCTCTGCCCCCATGGTCCTCCTGTGTAGGTCCTCCACACCATGACAGCCATCACCTGACTGGAGGCGGATTGCGGCCCCGAAATTGTGTTGATTGCTTCCTGAAAGGATGTGATGTTGCAGTTGTACCTCTGAACATATGGCACTGGCTGCCTCTCCTTTCTCTTTAGGTACTGTCCCAACTGTAAGAAGCACCAACAGGCCACAAAGAAGTTTGACCTGTGGTCCTTGCCCAAGATTCTGGTGGTTCACCTCAAACGTTTCTCCTACAACAGATACTGGAGGGATAAGCTTGACACAGTCGTGGAATTCCCAGTCAGGTGGGTCCCTGTGACATAGAGCAGCTGAGAAGGTTGCCATCTGTGTCCCATGCTCTTGGAGACGGGCTTTACTTTGGCAGCCCTGCCCTCAGCCTTCTCCTAGGGCTGAGGTGGACTCCTGTAGAAGCCCTTCCCAAGTTTGAGGTACTGCCGGACCATCTTTGCCACCATGAGTGCCCCTTGCTGTCTTTTCGTGCCTCTCACTGGTCCCAGGAAGCCTGGCCTCAGAGGGGTAGCACAGGCAAAGACTGCTGCAAAGAACTGAGATTTTATGGGGGCAGTGGGTGGGATACAGACTTCCGTGGTGGTGTGTCTGAGGGGATGAGTGACTGGTACTGTCTGTCTGCTCAGGTCCCCTTACTCCCCAGGATACACACTGTAGCTAAGACAGGAAAGTAAGCCAGCCAGATAAGAGTTCCTGACAAAATGTGTGTTTTAAGATACTTTGGGGAAGTGAATATATACATGAAATACAGCAAGGATGTTAATGATATGTAATAAGTATTTCTTGTGTAAAAACTTTTTGCCTTTTCTGTATGTTTGAAATTTTCCAAATAAAATGTAAGCCAGGTACATGGTTGTCCCAGCTACCTATAAGCCCAGGTACTTGGGAGGCTGAAACAGGAGGATCACTTGAGCCAAAGATCTTAAGACCAGCTTTGGGCAATATAACAAGTTCTCTTGTCTCAAGAAAAATGAAATAATAAGAATGTTACAGGAAAAAAGCTTTCTAGCCAGGTGTGGTAGCTCACTCTATAATCCTAGCACTCAGAAGGCTGAGGCAAGAAGAGTACCATGAGTTTCAGGCCAGCCTGGGCTACATAGGAAGTTCAAGGTCAGCCTGGATTATACAGCAAGACCCTATCTCCAAAAACAAAATATTAGTTCATTGGTGCCACAGCCTGCCGCTCAAGCACAAGTTCCCCAGTTAGATCCCTGGCACAAAAAGAGGAAAACAAATTAAGACCACAGGCCCCAGCATTCCTCTGTTGTGGTCTGTTTTTGTTTCTATCATAATGAAGATTGAACCAGGGCCTTGAAAATGCTAGGCAAGTATCCTACCACTGAGTGATATCCCCATCCCTTTATTTTATTCTCAGACCGAATCTACATTGCCCATAATGGCCTTCAACTTGAAATGCTCCTGCCTTAGCCTCTGAGTCAGTAGTACTATAGGTGTTCACTGCCATGCCTGCTTTGTTCATTTTTTGTTTTTTGTTTTGTTTTTGTTTTTTGAGACAGGGTCTCACTGAGACTGACCTGGAACTCACTATGTAGCCCAGGCTGGTTGCGAACTCACAGGCCTACGCCACCACGCCCAGCTAGTTTTTGGTTTTTGTTTTGTTGGTTTTTGTTTGTTTGGTTGGGTTTTTTTTTTTTGCAGGGGTAGCAGGGATTGAACTTGGGACCTAGTGCTTGTGAGACAGGCAACAGAACCACTGAGCTAAGTAAAAATAAGTTTTTGGAGTGCCTGTTGGTTGAAAGAAATTGCTGGGTTACTCTTCTTACCTGATTTTAACATATCAAGAGTTTTTCTTGTGTTGTTCAGAGCTCTGAACATGTCGGAATTTGTCTGTGACCCATCAGCCAGGCCTTACGTGTATGACCTCATTGCCGTGTCCAATCACTATGGAGCCATGGGAGTTGGCCACTGTGAGTATTGATATCTGCTGTCTTTGGTGATGTTGAAATTCACTCACCAGTCCCCTTTCCCCAGTTCCAAATACTGAACTATATACTTGACTACATTTTCACAGGCCTGGGCTTTCTCAATCAATTCTGCCCTGCTCATTTTTTAAAATTCTTTTTTATATACTTGATTGTTTTGTTTGAGGGTCTCTCTATGTAGTCCAGAATTAATTGCCTTGGACTTTATTATATAGCCCAGGCCAGCCTTGACTGCAGTCTTCCTGCCTCAGCCTCACAAGTGGCTGAGGTTACAGGCATGTGACACTGCCCAGCTTGACCCTCTATTCTTAATGATTTGCCTTCTTGGCTCCAGATAGCTGCTCAGTCTGCAGCCCTCATGTTTGGATTCTGTGCCATCAAAAGGAAAAAGGTAGCCCTCCAAAATCCACCTCGACTTTTCCCATACATCACACTGATTATAACTGGCTCCTTGGCAGCAAGAGTTGTCAGAGGGACTGGGAAGACAAAATTCTGTGTGAGAACTGGGGCCCTGCCAAAGTGGCTGTGATTGATTTCTAATCAGCTTGGACCTGCATGAGATTGTTACCTAATCACAGACTCCTGACTCAGCACAGTTAGAGAAAGACATTCAGGCCCCCTGTTCAAATCCCAGCTCTGCAAACCTCGTATCCATTAAGATTACCCCTTAGGTTCCTGAGGCCCTGAGTTTTCTGCTAAACATAGCAGCCCTCTTCCTCAACAGTGGAGAGACCCCTTTGGCTTGTTGATTTGAGAGAGCTGTCATCTTAAATAATCAGCTGCTTTTTACCCTGACTCTAGATTACTCCTTCTAGCTATCCATAAAATTGACTTGTTCTAGACAACTGTTTTTTGGATTAGTTTCCCAAAATTATAGTTTAAAACCTTGGTCTTGAGCTGGCGTCGTAGGATGCTTCTATAATCCCAGTACTATGGAAGCTAAGGCAGGAGGATCACAAGTTTGAACCCAACCTGGGCATAGTGAGACCTTTGTCTCAAAAAATTAAAAAAAAGGAGGGTCCGGGGATTTGGCTTAGTGGTTCCACTGCCTGCCTCGCAAGTGCAAGGTCCTGAGTTCGATCCCTGGTACAAACAAATAAATAAATATAAATTAATGAATTTAATTTAATTGTTACAAAAGCCAGGCATAGTGGTACACAGCTATAATCTCAGTAACTAGAGAGGCTGGGGCTGGAGGATCATTGAGTTCAAGACCAGCCTTAACTACATAACAAATCCTATCTCAAAAAACTTAAAAAAAAAGTCTTTCAGTCATTGGGACACAAATTGTAAATTATTTTTATTGTGTATGTGTTTAGTGCAAGTTTGATGAACTAGCCAGGTTAACTCCTAACAACTGCTGGAATGTTTTGCTTATTACTTGGCAGACACTGCATATGCAAAGAACAAATTCAGTGGGAAATGGCATTACTTTGATGATAGCAACGTGTCCCTGGCCTCTGAGGACCAGATAGTGGTGAGTGCTCTACATTTGGCCCTTCCTCTCACCTTCATGAGGTAAAGCCCAGCCAGTGACACAAGCAGCAGGTGGGCCAGGACCACAAATGTGGTGGAGTGGGCTTCTCTTTGTTCTGAGATCTTTCCTAAAGTAGAAGCTCAGGTTTCTTCCATGTGCCATGTCACAGCACCTGCTGCACCCCGCCTCAGGTGGCAAGACCTTCCTGGTCACATCTGTGTCATGCTGGGCAGGGTGGCTGATCTCTGGGAATGTTAGCTGGAGAGAATGGACCATTTTTTTAACCAGTGAATGGACTTTCCTCCTCTGTGTCCTAGACGAAGGCTGCATACGTGCTGTTTTACCAGCGTCGGGATGACAACTTTTCCAAGGAGCCTTCACTCACCGGCTTCCCTACCTCCTATGATGGAGGGATGAGGCCCAGCAGTCTGCAGCAGGGCTCAGGGGACGATGAGGCTTGCAGCATGGATACCAACTAATGCAACTCAGACCCTGCCACCCCGCAGCACCATTGCCACTCCCAGGAGAGGGTCAACACATCTAAAAGCTACAGGAGGAAATTTCCTTTATGAGAAGAGAAGGCCCCATTTGCTCAGAGGTTTATGTTAAGGCTGAATGTTCTTTATAAGCAGATGGTGAGAGGAGCCTTTGGATCTGCACCCTGGAGTGTGGGGCACAGTGGAGTGTGTCTGCCAGAGCCTGGGCATGGGGAGAACACTGATGCACGCGGAGTCTGGTGCTGGCTCAGAATAGGACGTGTGGTTCTGGTGCTGATCCTGGTCACCTTACTAGTCAGGCCATAGTAAATCAAGCCTCAAGTAAAGTTGATGTTGTCCCCTTGTCCTTTGCTGTTCATTTATATGGGTTTATAATTTTATAAAAATTAGCTACTGAAGCCCTTTCTGTTTCTGCATTCAGTCCTCAATTTTCTGCCTCCCCCTTCCTAATGAACTGAAATCACTTAGTGTTGGGGTGCACTGCCTGAGACCTCTGTGGAAACTGGCAGTGCTGGGCTGGGGATTTAGCTCAGCGGTTTGGTGGCCTGCCTTGCAAGTGCCAGGACTGGAGTTCGATTCCTGGTACCAAAAAAAAAAAAAAAAAAAAAAAAAAAAAAAAAAAAAAAAAAAAAAAAAAAAAAAAAAAAAAAAAAAAAAAAAAAAAAAAAAAAAAAAAAAAAAAAGGAAGCAAAGAAACTGGCAGTGCTGTTATGTCCCCTCTCCTTGATGAACTGATTCTCTGTCATTTTTATTAGAAATTCCTTAAAAAGTTAAGGGGGAGGGAGTTGAGGATGGGGCAGGGAATTTAGCTCAGTGGCACCTTTAAAAAGACCTTTCGCAAAGCTGCTGACTGCATTTCTCCAGTTAGTTATACACCCAAGTTGGCCGGTGTGCACCAGTAGGTGTCAGTGGACCTGAGCAGGGCTCTGGTTTTCTGTGGGATGGGACTGCAGACCCACCACCTCTCTCCCCCTGGCGGTGGCAGGAAGCGTGGCAGGGAGCGTGTTCTCTGCCTGACCTTTGACCTGCCCCAGGGGTACGGTGGCCCAGGGCAACGGCAGTTCAGTGACAGTGAGTGACCGTTGGGCCTTGGGTGACCCCGGTGAGGAGCAGCGGGCCGGTAGGGCCGCGGTGGATCGGTGGATCGGTGGCTGGGGTGGGGTGGGGTGGCCAGACGGCACTGGGGGATCTGGGGGTTATGTGCTGGGCCTTCCCGCTGCCCCTGAGGTGCTGGCAAGGTCAGGACGTTGCGGCAAACCGCTTAGGGGCCACCTCAGCTGCCTTGGTGACCTCGTCCTCTCGTTTCTCTGTGCGGTTCCAGTATATTATATAACAAGGATATGGTCGCTTGTAGGAGAAATGTCCGAAAAACTAAGAAGATGCAGAAAGGAGCTGACTGCAGCCATTGACCGGGCCTTGGAAGGGGTTAGGCGTTCTCAGGACCACAGCCCGGTCCCCGGCGCCCTGCCTGGGCACGCGCAGCTCTTCTGGGGCTGCGAGAGCCCGGCCTGTGCCCCTCCTCTCGCCCTAGTGAGCGCCGAGCCGCACACTCCGAGCCCCTTGAGAAAACCTCTCAGCAGCAAGGAGAATGTGCTGGCTCACCCCTCCATGTGGAGAGCTGCAGGAGACGGGGAGAACTGGAGGGAAAAAAGCTTAAGGTGACTCGCTTGATAGTGTAATAGCCACGATGAAGGAGATTCTTGTTTCTGAAAAACTGTTGGTGCTCTTGCCTCCTCTCTTGCGGCACTAAGACTTTGGGAAGTTCACACATTCAAGACCCAGCCCAGAAACAATTACTTTTCGTTTTGTTTGAGAGCCTGGTTGTCAGTCCTGAATACCAAACCGGCCACTGAAATCACCTAGCGGGGGTGGGGGTGGGGGGATGGGGTATCAAACCTGATTTTTTTTAAAGCTTTATTTTTGTGCTACAGAAACAAAAATCTTAGTTTCATCTTAACTATTGTGCTTAAACTGGAGCCCTTGATATCCTCCTTTGCCCACACTGGAGAAAGCCAGCCAAGTAGGCTGTATAGGACTTCCTGACTCTGCCACCTCTGCTCCCCTCTCTTCCTCTCCCCTCCCGGAAACCTCCCCTTCACTAAGTTAAGTATCCCTTAACCTCTTCCCTCAGCCAGCTTCCAAGCGCTATGACTTAGCACAAGGATGACCATGTAGGATGTCATTTTAGCCCTCTATCATTTCCCCAAAGGCAGGGGATAAAAGAAGCAATTTAACTGGCTCAACTAAAGTATTTATATTGGTATTCACAAGGAGAAATGCTACCCGTAGTGTTGCATCCTGATGATATGTTCCCTAACTAATGTTAGCCACTTTCCAGTTATCCTCTCATCAGCATAAATGACAATTTAAAGTCATCAGTTAATTTTTGTCTTTTGAGATCTCCAATAGTTTTTTTGAAAGGGTCTAATTCCCCACCTTTCCCCCTTACCCACTCTGGGCTGCAGGACAGATACAGAGGGAGATGTGAAAGTTGATTCAAACGTGCTACTCAGCTGCTCTAGCCAAGAAGTCACACAGGATCTACTTGATATGATTGGTGAGTGAGGAGGCCCCAACCACTCTCTTCTTGGGAGAAGAGGTCCATACAGGCCCAGAGTCAGCAGAAGACTTAGATGAGAAATAAAAAACACTGATTTACCATCTATTTTGCTCACAGCTGATTCTGTGCATAGAGCAGTGAATTAAACCCTGTCTCTGCCTTCAGAACTAGTGACTTAATGACTTAATCAGCTCAAATGTCTGGTTCTCTTGAGTCCCAGAACACCAGGAAGTTAGATCTGAAGAAAGCAGGACACAAGAAGGGGAGGAGAGAGGAGGCCAGCTGTGGTGGGTAATCCCAGGGTAGAAGGCTGAGAATCTCAGAGCTCTCCTGGGTTTCCTTGCTCAGAGATGGCCATGGCTAACATAGTAGTGTGCATGTTTCCACTCCCTACAGACGGTTCTTTTATGTGAACCCGGGGGGCAGCCAGCTCCTAGTTGAGGGATCCAGAGCCATGTTTGCTGCCTAAACCTGTGGACTCTGAAGTATCTCCAGGTTATGAAGAATGAAAAAGGCTTGGTGAGGTTAGCAAATCACCCTAAGCCACAAAACCTCTGCCAGCCTGTACCATCAGTGCACTGAGTGGCCTCAGGAGGGCTGCAGGCATCACTGCCTTTGCCCACCATCTCCTCTCCCCTCACCAGCACAGGCAGTGTTTTTCTTTTCTTTTCTTTTTTCCTGGTACCAGGAATTGAACTCAGTACCTTGCACTTTCCAGCCAGGCACAACACCACTGGCTAAATCCCTGGCCTGAGGCAGTGTGAGGACCCCCACACACACCTTTTTTTTAATGTAACACCCTGTGTTATTCCTGCAGGGACAGGCTATGAATTTCAGAATCTTCCACTCACGCTTTCTTTGGGGACAGGCAGGCAGTTGGAGCTGGATAAATGGCAGGGCCAGAAAGGAGGGCACCACGCCTCTCTGTTGTGAGGCAGAAATGCCCAGCTCCAGCTCTGTGAAGTCTATAGAGTGACTGCCCATTCATGCTTTTTAACTTGTGTCTGAAATACCTTTAGAAACTACTTACTGTAATCACAAATCCCAATGTTTTTATTTTTAAGACCATACAAGCATACGAACTATTGAATTGGCTGGAAAACTTGAATTTGAAAATGAATTGAACCGTGTGTGTGGTCACTGCCAAGATTCACCCTTCCAGGAGGAAGCATGGGCCCTGCTTCTGGACGAGAGCCCTCTGCAGGCCTCAGATACTGACCCTGGCAGCTTCAAGCAGGCTTTTGATGATCAGAGTATCATCGAGACTATTTTGGACTTGGAAGAGGACTACAACCTAATGACTTATTTTAAACACCAAATTGAGTAAGGAGAGTTGATTTTTAGCTTTGGTACTGCACAGGAGGACACTGCCATCAGGGAGCCTGTGCAGAAGCATCCACAGTGGTCACAGTGTGGGCCACGCTTTTCCAAGGGATGGCAAGAACCTGGGTCACCTCAACCTTTTAACTGTTACTTGTGTTCTCTCAGCTGAGGGCCCAGTCTTTGTTTTCTGTTGCTTTGAAATGTTTTGTTACTGTTGATTTTTTTTTACTTTGATTGACATCATAAAAGTGTTTTTTGGTTGATGTTCAATATGTCCATTACTCACACCCAGGTATGTATGGGTTGCGTCTCTGGTGTGTCTGGTATTCTTCTCCAGGAGCCCCGAGATGTACACAGAGCCAGAATCATGGTGAGCTTCATGCCTCCCCGTGACATCACTCACCCAAGACCAGCTCAGAATCAAGACTAAGCTGGACCTGGGCTGGCCCCAACACTCAGCTCAACTTGCTCAAGGGCTTCCTGTCCCTGTGTGTGCACACGCCCTCCTCATGTCCAGCCCCACCTTGCCTTGGTTCACACCCCTGTCCTTCCTACCGGAAGGCCTCTGCAGAGGCCCCTGCGTCCCCAACAAGATGGTCCCACTAGACCTCCCTGCTACAGGCCCCTACACAGACTCTGCTCCACCTGAGGGGAAAGGAGAGGAAAGCTAAGTGTGGGTTTCCTGACCACCTTCATACCTAGACTTCATCCCATTGGAGGCCTGGCAGTCTCAGATGGTCCCCGTGGCCATAGCCCTGCCAGGTCAAGACGGCAGAGAATAGAGGAGGGGCCAGGCCACTGTCCCTGGACAGCAGCATAGCAGAAGCATAACAGGAGGGAGCATGGGCCCTGCTTCTGGATGAGAGCCTTCTGAAGGCCTCCCTTGGAAAGAAAGGACATCACCAGAAATTATATGGAAAAATTACTTTTTAGTACTGGGGTTTGAACCCAGGGGCCTTTGCACTGAGTCACATCCCAGCCCTTTCAAAAATTTTTTTGGAAACAATGTCTTGATAAGTCACTTAGTTGCCCAGGCTAGGCTTGAACTTGTGACACTTTTGCTTCATTTTTCAAGCATGCTGGGATTATAGTTGTGGGCCATGACACCCAGATTGAAAAAGAATATATGAAAACCGTGATATTCTCTTGGGAAATTTAATAAACTATTGGGCAAGGTTTGATGTCTCCGAGAAGCATCTCAGAGAAACACCCACCTTCTATTTTTCTTTTTGAGACAGGGTCTTGCTATGTAATGCAGACTGGCAATGTAGCTCATTGTGAGGCCTTGGCTTCAATCCCTAGTACTTGGTAGTGGGGAACTGTTAAGGGAAAAAGAGGTGCTATGGTTTATTTTTCTCGTATTTTCTAATTCATCTGTAGTGGGCAATATCATTTCCATTAAAAAAAAAAAAAGGAAAAAGGGAAAAGAAAACTGTACATGAAAATTTTAACTCGGACTTCTCAGTAAGCTACATCTTTCAATCCTTTTAAATTTTCATTTTGAGACAGTCTTGAGAAGTTGCTAACTTACCCAGGCTGCGGTCAAACTTTTCCATCCTCCTGCTGAGCTCAGCCTTCCAGAGTGCTGGGATTACAGCATGCACCACCACATCTGGCTTTTTTGATTTGTGTTTGTGGTACTCGGGGTCAAACCCAGGGCATCACACATGCTAGGCAAGTGCTGTACCACTGAGCTATACCCTGGCCCTAAGGAGTTTTTTGTTTGTTTGTTTTTGGTTTTTTTGGTGGTGAGCAGGGGTTGTTACTGGGGATCGAACTCAGGACCTTGGGCTTGAGAGGCAGGCACAGTGCCACTGAGGCAAATCCCTGGCCTATGGTTTTGTTTTTTGCAAAATCCTTATCTCCATTGGTTTACCATGGACACCCCTCAGCAAGCAAATGCTTGCCCAGGCCAGACTGTCAGTCTCTGCAAACAGGTGGCATCCAGGGACTGCAACAGGAAGGGTTACAGGACTCTGACAAGAGAGGTCTGGGTCCTGGCCAGGTGCTCTGGGTCTCAGGAATTTCTCAGCAGCCTTTCCCAGGCAGCACTTTGCAGAGGAAATGGCTGCTGTGAATGGAGCCCTAACTTTAGAAAACTGAAATGTGAGGATTCTTTTCTGCTCCAGATAGAGACCATGGCCCTTGGGAATGAGGGCCCAACACAGGAGAGGATGAAGTAGGATGGGGGTTTGGGCTCTCCCTGGCCAGAGAGACAGATAGCCTCTTATTTTAGTATAACCTTTGTGTGGAAACTCAGATTTACCAAACAGGCATTTCAACCTGGAATTCCTGAATGAAGAACTTTTCCTCACTGGTCAGCAAGCAGATGAGACAAGCCTCCAGCGTGCCAGTCCCAGATGGCAGAGGTGACACACGAGCCTCCTCAGCTCCCTGCTGACGTCTCTACCTCCCTAAGGTGCCCCAAGGAGACCTCACCTTTGCGGTCTGCTGTTTCTGTGCCTTGGGAAGATGTGTGCTCATCTACTCAGAACAGGGTAGGAGCAGTCATTCTCCAGGAATTTAGCTCCAGAGGAGGACAGGAGTCCAGAACATGTCATTTAATAAAGCTTCCTTTTGCAGGGAGCTGGGACAGATGACCTGGTCATGTCTGAGAAACGATGTGTTACACTGTTCTGGCCACCTCCCCCCCAGTTCCTCTTGGCAAAACAGCAATCTCTGAACTGTCTCCGTGGAAACATCAGACTGCAATGTGGGAACCAGAGCCAAAATAGAAACAAGGCAGATTCAAGAATAAATAGGAGCTTTGGAACCTGATAGTTACAAGCTGCAAATTCAACTCACAGCACAAGGAATAGAAGAATCTGGGCCTATGCAACACTGCAAAGAGAGAATCTCAGGTCCCATGGCTGTAGCCACCAGTGTTCATGCCAGAGCCACTAGAAACCAGCTGTATAAACAGACCAGGAGGCTTTGGGGCAGCACTGAAAGCAGGAGTGGTCTGGAGAAGCTCCTAGAAGGAAAGGCTGGAGGGCTGGAAGGAAGGCTGGGTAGGAAAGGACAGGAGCAAGTAGAGGGATGAGTTAACTGAGTGAAGGTCCACAGGATAGAGCAGCAGCTCTTTCTAAGGGATAATTCAAGAGGCAGGGCCTAATCTAATATGGAGGTGTGCAGCTGTAGTACCAGCACTCAAGAGGCTGAGACAGGAAGGTTGTGAGTTCAAAGCCATCCTGGGCTACACAAGGAAACCCTTTCTCAAAACAAAAGGCTAGGCATGGGCACACATCTGTAATCCCAACAATGAGGGGGGCTGAGACAGGAGGACCACAAGTTGGGAGTCCTGCTAGGGCAATTTAGTGAGACCTTTTCTGAAAATAATAAAGGGCTGGGGGTGTAGCTCAGTGGTAGTGCACCCCTGGGTTGGATTCCTAGTACTGGGCGCTGAAAGGCCAGGAGTTCGAAACCATGACCTTGCCCTTGCCTATCCTGATGGCAGTGTGGCTGCCTGTCTGGCCATGGGCATCTGGATCTAGACTCAGGGCTGTGCCAGGGCAGCACTGGGGCGCTTCTGTTAGCCTTCCCCTGAAGGCTGGGCCACAGCCCGGGCTCCACAGCCTCCCTTCTCTACTCTGGGTCTCAGCTGCTCCCATCGTACCCTTTCCATTCCACAGAAGATGCCAGAGGGGTTTGTGGATCAGGGAGAAGGAGACAGATAATCTAGGGGCTGGAGATTGATGAAGATTTGCAAAGGGGGCCATACTCAGGCCAGTCTGCCTCCTTAAATGGCCAAGTGCCTCTCTGGTAGGTGCTTCTTTCACTGAGCCACAAGATGCCTCATGGCAGGTGTTTACCTGTGAATTCTGCAAGCAAGGGGGATTTTGGAGATGATTCCTACTGACCGTCAAGGATTATTTAAAAGCATGGTCATCCTGAAACTAGGGCAGGTGGGCCAGGAGGTGGCATCCTAGAGTGTGCGAAAACATTAGTATTTTAGGCTCCAGCTGAATATTTGTTTCATTTTTTTAGACAGGGCCTTGCTATATAGTTCAGGCTGGCCTTGAACCCATGACAGTCCTCCTGCCTCAGCCTCCTGGGTACTGGGATTAGAGGCATGTACCACCACGCCTGATGAGGTGAATATTTAGGAGGAAACAAAAGTTTACTCAGGGAATCTGACAGTGGATCCCAGTCCTAGTGTGGAAAGACTCTCTGTCTTATGCTGTTTGGAAAACACCTGATTTGATGAGAAGTTTGGACCTAAAGTCTGGCGCTTACAAATTTAAAGACTATTAGGGCTGAGAATGTAGCTCAGTGGTGCTGTGATTGCCTAGCAAGCACAAGGTCCTGAGTTTGATCTCCAGTTCTGAGAAAACAAAACAAAACTCAACCTCTGCAGGAACCTGCTATTCTCTTTCTGTTTGTTTTGTTTTGTTTTGCTTTTTGAGACAGGGTCTCACTATGTTGTTCAGGCTGGCCTTGAACTCCCTATGTGGCCCAGGCTGGCCTTAAACTCACCGCAATACCCTTGCCTCAGCCTCCCGAGTGCTGGGATTATAGATGTATGCCACCACACCCAACATCCACTATATTCTTGAGGGCAGGATGGTAGTTTCTGGGCACCTTGGATGAGAGAAAAGTTCCTGGGAACTGGCAGGGAGGGATTAGTGATGGGCACACTGCAGAAAACCCTTCATGGGATGCGCCATTTAGAACTTCTGTGGCCAAATATACGAGAGAGAAACTGCAAAGGATACTATAAAAAGACTCCATTTTCAGGACAGGTCTGTAATAAGCTGATGCATAAGAATACAATTCCTAGCTGGGCACAGTGGCTCATGCCTGGAATTCCCATACTTTGGGAAGCTGAGGCAGGAGGATCACAAATCTGAGCCTAGTCTGGGCATCTTAGCAACTTAGTGAGACCCTGTCTCAAATAAATACACAGTCTGTCAAAAAAATGCATACACTCTTCAGGAAAAGGAAACTAGTATGATATTTTTTCAACAGATGGTGTTTGCCTCACACAGGGGATCCTAGAGGATACTGTATGTCACAGAAAACCTACTACACTGCTGGCCTTTAGAGAAGAAATTGAAAATACACGTGCAGCACCAAGGTTACCCAAGCAGCAGTTTGCCATACTAATAAATGCCTGGATGCTGATAGCCACTACTTTGAGTACCTCTTGAAATTGTAGAGGCCAAAGGTAATTTGTATTAATCTCATGGTGTCTCAATAAATTTAGTGTTGAAATATGTATACAAAAGTATTTATACAGGCTTTTCTTTTCCTGAAGTATATATGCATTTTTTAGTGGACTCTGTATATATAAAGAAATAAATGGAAGGTTGGTGCACTGTAACCTGGACAGGTGCTGTGGAGTCTGCTGGCTCTTCGACAGACTGCCCAGGACCGTCAGCACTGCTTCACAGCAGGCAATTTGAAAATAAAGTTCCACAGAGGCAAAAGCTGTTTCAGGAGGACAGTGGAATTCCAGCGCATCTGAAGGGTGGGGTAGCTGATGCCCTTCTGTATAGGGCCACTATGATTCTTACAGTTGGTGAAACTGCGTGTGCCATGTCAGTTGGTTGGGGCATCATTTCCCAAGAAGCCGGAATGACTTTAGTCAGACCAGCAGTCACGTGGCTCAGTTCCAGTCAGCTCCCTGGACCAGTAATGTGATAAATAACTGAGCTCTTCTTTGGGGATCTGTATATTAACTACCACCAATAAAGCAGTCTTTACCCAAAAAAGAAAAAGGAAGGAAGGAAGGGCTGGGGATGTAGCACAGTGCAAAGGCCCTGTGCTCAATCCCCAATACTACCAAAAAAATAAAGCCAGGCATGACGGGATACTCAGGACTCAGGAGGATGAGTTCATGGCCATCCTGGGTTCTCCGCCCACCTTGTGATGAGGATCGAACTCAGGACCTTGCACTTATGAGTCAGGTGAGTCGCCACTGAGCTAAATCACTTAGCCCACCTAGGTTACTTTTTTAGGGGGAGGCTACATTTTTGAGACTGTCTCAAAAAAAAAAAAAAAAAGGGCAACCCCTGTCCTCAGGAAGCATTTAGCAAGAATATATTAGTGACTAATGTCAGACCCCTCACTTTCCTTCACCCTGAGGATACTGCAGGGACAGGGCAGATAGGGTAGACGCTGCCCTTGCGTGTGGAGTTTATACCCGTGGGCAGGGCAAGTGAAGCACAAGAACACAAATGAGTATGTAATTTCACTGGGAGAGCTGAGCTGTGTGAGAGTTAAAATAAGGTAAGAAGTGGGTGGTGAATGTGACTAGTGAGTGAAGAAAGGGCTTTTATTTTTTTCTCTACTGGGGATCAAATTCAGAACCTTGCACTTGTGAGGCAGGCGCAGGGCCACTGAGCTAAATCCCCGACCTTGGTAGGTAAATGACCCTGAATAGATAATCAGCCTCACTCTCACCCTTGGGCTGTAGCCATTGGAGTGGTGTGAGGGAGCCAGCCACCCACAGACACACACACACTTTGCCCTGTGCAGCCACACAGCTCCAGGAGTATCTGCAAAGCCCAAGACACCACTTGCTCTAGCCTAGGTATTAAATGAGGGGTGTAAGAGCCGTAGGGATAAAAAAAAAATGCCTTAGGGATAAAATAAGAAACAGAAGATCCTTTCCTGATGATCACTCGAGACAGGCAGTGTAATTGTAAGATTTAAGTCTCACTTTAACTCCTGGAGCATGAACAGCCAAGAGGCTTCCACGATGCTGGGCTCAGAAGCTCAGCGAGGCTCCAGGAGCTTGTCGGACAGCGAGAGTCACCCAGGAAGGAACACACCAGGCAAGTTGGCAAATAGACCTTTATTAGTCTGGCCAGACGGCACTCCCCAAGCCAAGTAGCTCAGAGAGGCGGCTAGCTCAGAAACAGAGGCCATTTTATATAGGGCTGAGGTGAGGGGGATTACACTTAAAACTTACAGGAAGAGGACAAAGGCAAAGAATCAGTTGATCTGAGCTAGTGGTCATCAAGCATATACTTGACCGTTACGTACTAATGATCAGCAGATCGATTATCCATTATTCCATTTACAACTTAGATTATAATGTTCAGAACATTCAACTACAGGCAAGTAAGGAGTGGCGTGATTTGTGTTGGGTCTCTGTGTTCACTACAGTTTCCATTTAGTTTCCCAGCTACTTCAAAGCAGTTACCTAACAATTCACAATTAATCATTAGTTATCCTATAAGGGATGTGGGGGGAGCGACAGTCTCTAGGTCGTTTGCTGGTCAGCATGGAGTCACTCTGGTTCAGTCAGGCTCTTACATAATTCACCTTGCCTTATTAGGAGATAGTTTACCTCTCATTCTGCAAGTGCCCAGCTCATGGAACACTGAATCACTTGGAACTTTTTCACACACAAGATGTTATAACACAACAGAATCAAAAGCCAGTGATCCTTATTTGACCTTTTAAAGTATCCTTGACTCTTCAAGAAGAAAGTCACAGTTATAAATACAGATGGAGTTCTCCAGGATGTCAACTTAGAACACAAACACATATGATGAGTTGGACACAGCTCCTAGGCAGGCTGAGGCAGAAGGACAATTTAAACCCATAAATTCTAGACCAGCCTGGTACAGATTAAAAAAAAAAAAGACTAAATAGTAAACTGTTTAGAGTAATAGAGATTGAAGAGATTCAGGGTCCTCTGGTCTATGAGCCTTGTGCTAACAGCTCAACAGACTTCTCAATTCAGTCCATGAAGGGTTGGAAGGAACCCAGGGTGTGGCCGGGCCTCTTCCTCCCACAAGCAATGGAAACCAGCAGGGGAGACCACGCAGGCTGCAGAGAACAGAGGATGGAATAGCACTGTGGCCCCCAGAGCAGAGGCCAATGTCTGAGGTGTGCCTACACCTGACTTCCATGGGCGCAGGGAGGCTGCTCTGATTGCCCAAGGCTCCCAGCTTTAGGCCACCAGAGCACCCCACCCCACTGGAATTAGACAGCGGTTTAGGGTTAGAGTCTGGCCCCTCTGCCAAAGGTGTTGCAGGCAAATTGAATCCTTCCAGGCTTTTTCTTTTTCCTTTTAGGTATAAGGATTGAACCTAGGGCCTTTACAGAAAGCTATGTCCCCATCCTTTTTTATTTCTAAACAAAATCTTGTTGCCTGGGCTGGGCTCAAATTTACAGTCCTCCAGCCTCAGCCTCCCAGAGTGCTGGGATTATAGGTGCACTCCACTATGCCCACCTTTTTTGGTTTTGGAGAGAGTGTACATAGTTCAGGCTGGTCTCGAACTCACCATTCCTCTGACTCAGGCTCCCAAGTGCTAGCAGACCTTTTTTTTCCGGTAAGATTTCAGTAAGCGATTGAACCCAGGGCCTTGTGCATGCTTGGCAAGTACTGCTGTGCTACATTCCTAGCCCTTTAAGTTTTTTTTTGTTTTTTGTATCAGGAATCAAACTTAGGACCTTGTACTTGCCAGGCAGGCACAGCTCCAGCCACTGAGTTAAACACCCAGCCCCCAGCTCTTTTAACTTTGCACAGTACTAGGACATGAACCCAGGGCTTTCACACTGAGCTACAGCCCCAGCCCCCCGCCCTTTTTTTGTGGAACCCAGGATTGAACTCAGGATCTTGCACTTGCTAGGCAAGCAAGGCACACTGAACTAAATTCCTGACTCCCAGCCCTATTTTTTGAGACAGGGTCTTGTTAAGCTTCCCAGGAAGGACTAGAATTCATGATCCTCCTGTGTCAACCTTCATTGTAGCTGGAATTACAGATGTGCACTGCCACAGCCAGGTTCCCCTAGACTTTCCCTAAGAAGTTAAAAAATCACTGCTTTCTACAACAGCCTACTCTGTGGGCCCAGACAGAGTCTGTTGTTATATTTTTGTTTGGTTTTGTTTTAAGACGGTCTCACTACATAGCCCAGGCTAGCCTCCACTGCACAGCAATCCTGCCCCAGCTTACTGAGTGCTGGGATTGCAGGCATGTGCCATTATGCCTGACTCTAATATCACTTACTGTGCTGGCTTGGGAATGGGAAAATTCTGGAAACCATCCATTCCATGAGGATTTTAAGTTTCATACAATAGAGGAAAAGAAAAATTGAATGGAATATTGCTTATTCAAAATCATCTTGTGACTTAAAGTATAAAAAGATGGCATACATCTAATGTACTTGATTTCTTAAGTAAATAAAATTGAACTCGAAGATCAGTTCAAAAAAATTAAAGAAAAGCTTTTAAAGGTTTTATATGTATTTTTATTACAAAAGAAACACGTTGCAACAATTCAAAAACTTCAGGAATATATAAATGCAAAACCAAAGTCTCAAGCGTACTGCTTTCCATCAATAACACGGGGTCCTCAGACACTGTCATTCAGTTTAAGAGTAGCTGAAGAACAAAACGGAAAAACAGCCAGGAAGAAAATGGACTCCAGTGTCTTAAAAACAGTAGCGCCCTGGATAGTTAAAGGTATGTGCTACTTCTCTTTCATAGGCAGTTTTGATCCTTCTCTGTTCACAAGAAAACTAACTTGGTGACCTGTAGTATGTCCTCTGATGGAAACATGCAAACTCTCTGGCATTGTAATTGGCCAAAGATAAAAGGGCTCAGAAAGGTATTGGTTATGTGCAAGGAATATTGTGAAGATGAAAAATGTTGTGTGTGGGAGTCATTGCTGCCACAGCAAGCCAGTCCCTTTTCACCAGGGACAGTCATGCTCTGGTACCCACCGCCAGGCTGCAGCCCCATGTCTCCTGCCCATCATCTCCACACATTTTCTTCTGAGAAACACGGATGAACGTGTCCCTTACGCCCTTCACCTGAGCAGCAGAACTGAATTCCTAGGACACCGTGCCTGTGCCTTCCTCCCACTGACCTTACCCCAGCGGGGCCTGACCACAAGGGTCCCCAAGCAGGTTTCAAGGTCTTTTTTCTGTGAGTCAGTTCAAGTGTTCTGTGATTTGACTAATCTAGCTGAGATCCATAAATCAGCAGCTGAAGTCACTGTTGGCTGCTCAAAAGTCATCATCGCTGCTATCAAAACCCAGGAGACACAGTAAATTCTTCCCTGCCTTCTTACACGGGGCAGGCTCTGAATTTTCCAGGTTGAGGTCACTGAACCAGCTTATCTGTTGGTCCCTCTGGAAACTGCTTTCCTTTGGGAGGAGCCAGTTTCCCTCTGAAGAACACATGGTGAATTGTAAGGCATCCTCCGCCTCTGCCCTTGCTGTCTTACTGGGCTTGTCTCTTCTTCCTGGAACAGGACAGACTGATTTTGGGGAGCTTCTGGGCCCCTGCAGACACAGGGCCTGAGCAAGGAGCTCTTGCTGCCCTGTGGGGGGCCTTCCTGGGCTGGAAACTGGAGACAGGGGACTCTTGGGGTTAAAAGCATGGGTCTTGCTTGGGGTTTGTTCTCGCTTCCTAGTGGGGAGCTTGCCCCTGCGGACCTTCCTGGGCTGCCGCTTCTTGCTTTTCCTCCCTCTTTCTAAAGTCTTGCCTTTCTGTTCAGTCACCAACTGTTCACCTGGGTCACAAAAAAACATATTTTGGGCCTGATATTCTGGGTACACATTCTGAACGCTGTTTGCAACACTGTTTAAGTCCAGGGATATGAACTGTGAGCCTCCTTGGGAAACGAGGTCTCTATCAGCGCATACCTTGTGGCCTGGGATGCTGGAGCCATGGCTCTTAGGACTTTTTTTAGCTGAATCCCGGCAGTGAGTCTGCATTGCCTTGTCCTTTACTCGCTCATTTCCTCTACAAGGCTCAACTGCAGGCAGTGCAGCTTTTTCTTGGACAGAATCACTCTTCGCTTGCTCAGCCCAGACACCAAACTCCCCAGGCCTCAGGGAGCCTGCACCTTGGTTCCCCGCAGCAGGGGTGGCCTGGATCTGCCATGTAACGGGCTCCTCACAGGGGAGTTTACTCTGCTTGGTGAAACTGAGGCTCTGGGCCATAGGTGGTGAGGTCTGAGAAGCACTATCTTTCACGTGCCTAGGTACCCGAGGTGCCGAGACCAGTCTCTCCAGCTCTGCAAGGACATCAGGTACGTGCAGCTGGCCTAGCTGCTCACATAGCTGCTGGAAGTCCTTATTCTGCTTGGCAACTAAAACCTCAAGGTGCTTCAGGCTGGACTTTATTTCTATAAACTCTGTTTGTCTCTGCGGAGAAGCAGTGAGAAAGCAGAAAAAGGTCAGTGCAAGTCAAAAGACACAATAAAATATGAGTAGAACCAGTGGACATCAGGCAGGCTAAGGACGGCTATCCTCTGGAGAAGGCGCCGGGGCCATGTCCTGCTGGGGAACCTTGGAGGGAGGCAGGCCCTGCGCTGACTCATTCCCAATGGGCCTGGGCTAGCCCCGGGTCTTGGCTGAAAATGTGTAACTTTTAACTGATTTCTGGATCTTAACTACAAAGCTAAAAAAAAAACTTAAAGAAGTTGGGATTTATACTTACAGCTTCAAATCTCTTCTGCATGTCCAGGATGGCCTGCTCGGCATTGCCTTTTTCTTGTACTGCCTCAAACCTCAGGTCGCTCAGGGCCCGTGCAGTCTCTTGCACTAAATACAGAACAACCATTTACCTCATGAGGACTGTTGCATGTCCCCTTGCCCAGACGACAGGGGCAGAAAAGAAGGAGCTAGACACTGGTGATGGACACCCCGAACCTTCTCTCCTACCACCCAGGACTTTGTTCTCCCCAACCAGAGTGGATTCCTCACAGCTTCTTTTTCTTTCCCTCCCTAAGAAGATCCTGGCCAAAAGAAGCACCTATTAGGGACCTTGAGAATCTGCCACCCAGATCAGAGGACAGGACCAAGCCCCTCCTTAGCCTTCCCGCATGGGTCTGTCATCAGAGTGATTTCTGCAGAATGTGAAAATCACCCTATCCCCTAACCTTCATTGGTTCAATGGCATCCCTCTGGCCACTGAAAAAAGTTCAATTTTTTTTTTTTTCTTACTGGGACTTAAACGCAGGGCCTTCGCACTAGGTTACAGTCCTAACCCTTTTTATTTTTTCTGACAGGGTCATGCTAAATTACCCAGGTGGGACTTGAACTTGGGATCCTCCTGCTTTAGCCTGCGTGCTGGGATTACAGATGTGTGCCACCAGTTCCAGGGGAGTCCAGATCTTTAAACTGGCTAACAGCCCCTGGCTTCCTTATTCCTCACTTCTCAATCTCTGAGCTTGGTGTGTCTTACTGTCTTTTGGGCATGTAGTCCCCTCTGCTTGCAGTATTCCTACTTTTATTCCTGTCACGCCTCCTTCCTTCCCAGCCACCACCTTAGTCCAGCTAATTCCTATATTTTCTACTCTCAAAAAACCTCCTTGGGAAACTCCCACTCCTGCCTAGCGAGGATGCTCCTCTTCTCTGCTGGTGGCACCATGTTCTAGCGTCATGTGCCACTCTCCAGTTATTCTCCAGTTACACTTGGACCCTGATGGCTTGATCTCACACACACATTTAATAACACACTGACAGGCCGGGATGTAGCTCAGCGGCACAGCGACTGCCTAGCAAGCACGAGGTCCTGAGTTCGAGCCCTGGTACCAAAAAACAAAACATTGTGTTGCAATTAATTATTGCCATCTTACTAGATTATAGGTTGTGTAAAGATGCTCTTCCATTATTCAACAAACATTTATTTAATAAGTGTCTCCTTTTTTTTTTGGTACCGGGGATGGAACTCAGGACCTTGTGCTTGCAAGGCAGGCACAGCGCCACTGAGCTAAGTCCCCGGCCCCCTTGCTTTTGTTTCACTGTGTATTCCAGGCTGGCTTCAAACTGAAGACAATGATCCTGTGTCAGCCTCCTGAGTGCTGAGATTACAGGCATGTGCTACCACATCTGTTTAAGAAAATACAGGTTGGGGCTGGGGAGTTGGCTCAGTGGTGTCACTGCCTGCCTCGCAAGTGCAAGGTCCCAAGTTCAATCCCTGGCACAAAAAAAAAAAAAAAAAAAAAAAAAAAAAAAAAAAGAAAGAAAGAAAGAAAAATACAGCTCTCTTGAAATTAGTCTTGGAGAAAACAGGCAGTCAATGAGTAATTACACAAACAACTATTTATGGATGTAATAAGTGCTCTAAAAGAAAAGTATAGCAAGCTTGAGGCTAGTTTATCTCAAAGGTAAGACTTCCCTAAGGAGCTGATATTTAGCTCAATTATTCAGTAAATAAAAGCCAAGAAATTTCACTGAGGGCCAGGGATTTAGCTCAGTGGTTCTGCTGCCTGTCTCACAAGCACAAGGTCCTGAGTTTGATCTCCGGGACCAAAAAACAAAACCAAACAACAACAAAAAAACCCTCATACCTGTCAGTGAAAGTATTGTCTCCATTTTATTGGCCTACTTCAGCCCAGAGTAAAGTAGAATGTAATGTCTTGGTATTTTATTACTCTGGTTCTTGGTGCCCTTGGCTGAAGGAGTCAGATGGCTACAGTGAGACTTCTGGATGAATAGAAGACTGACTGACAAAAGATTTCATGACCTTTTTCCATGAAGGCACTAAATGGATGAACACAAGACAGCACATCCACACAGTATGTTTTCTGGCTCTTTTCCTGGTAAGTGCTGTGAGGGCCTCATTATATGATAGAAGATTCTTCTGGTTTCCTTTTCAATGGTTAATTTTCATTCCCTGACCATTACCTACCAGGAAAATGAATGATTCTGGAAAGGCGGTTTGTATTCATTTTCAAGAATATTGTTTTTTTTTTTTTTTTGGCTCTGGGCTCAAACTCAAGGCCTTATGCATAGCACTGTATTACTGAGCTACATTCCCAGCTCTTTTCTTTTTTCTTTTTCTTTAAGTTTATTGGTACATTCCAAGAAAACAATAGTTACATTTATCATAGCCTTTTTCATTTTGAGACAGGGTCTTACTGAGTTCCCCAGCTGGGCTTAAATTTTCAATTCTCCTGCTTCAGCATCCTAAGTATTTGGGATTACAGATGTGTACCAATACTGCTGGCCAATTTAGCTTTTTGACTCAACACATTTAGGAGTCTAACTCTCTGAAAGTAAAGGAATCAGGATCTGTTGGCCAGGCATTGTGATGCACTCCTGTAACGTCAGTACTGGCAAAACTGAGGCAGGAGGACTGCTGTGAGTTTGAGGACAGCCTGGGCTACACAATGAGTTGAATTACTTAGTGAGGCCCTGTCACAAAACAAAACAAAACAATCAGAATCCCTGTGCTTCCTATAAGCCAGGTTTCCAGTTCTAGTCCTCTCTTTTGTGATCTTGTTTTCCTTTTTTTTTCCTTTTATATCTTTCAGACATGGTCCCTCTCTGTAGTTCAGGCTGGTCTTCAACTCACTATGTAGTCCAGGCTGGCCTTGGCCTTGGCCTCAAAGCTATCCTGCGTCAGCCTCCAGAGGGCTGGAATCACAGGTGTGTGGTAAGTTAATTTTTTTTTGGTGTTTTGAGACAGGGTCTCACCATGTAGTTGAGACTGACCTGGAAATCACTATGTAGCCCAGGCTGGTTTTGAACTCACAGTGATCCTCCTGCCTCAGCCTCCCAAGTGCTGGATTATAGGCATGCGCCACCACACCCAGTTTAATTAGATATTTTGTAGGCAGTTAGGCCAACATTAGGGGAACCAACTCAGAGGACAATCAAGAGACATTCACTGAAGGCCAGCATTGCAAAAGAAGAGAAACTACCAAACCCATATAGGATAAGTAACAGTGATTGATATTCTAAACAGGTATCAATTACCTGGGTGGGAGACCAAGATTGTATAAGAAAGATCCCTAAAAATTGAGAACCAAGACCTGTCACATGAAGGTACAAGATCCCAATGATGAATGTAACTGTAATGTTTACCTAAAATGTACCAATAAACTCAATGAGAGGGGAAAAAAAAAAATCCCTGACCTACCCCTTACCGAAAATCCTTGCTCATTCTTTGTATGCTTGCTATGTGCCTTGCTTCCCCATTGGAGCCCCATTTAATCAATATTACCTGAATGACTGTACTTGTAATCTTCCTGGTTGACTATAATTTTGTCCCCCTTAAACCTCATCTCACCTTGTGGCTTTGTCCCATAAAACACCTTGAAGATGCAGGGTGAGCAGGGAACTCATTTTCCAGTCCCCCTTTTGTCTCTCTTAGAAGCTATCTTTCAATAAATCTTTCCTACTCTTTTTTTTTCGGGGGGGTACCAGGGATAGAATTTAGGACCTTGTACTTGTGAGGCAGGTAGTGGCACCACTGAGCTAAATCCCTGGCCTCCAAATTTTCCTATTTTTAATCTCCATTGTTCCTAGAATTCATTCAATTTATTTTTTTTGTTTTTGTTTTGTTTTTTTGGTACCGAGAATTGAACTCAGAACCTTGTGCTTGAGAAGCAGGCAGCAGAACCACTGAGCTAAATCCCCTGCCCTCATTCTTCAATTTTAGAGAACACAAACTCCTGCTTCACATAACTAGCAAGTTTGAGAGTTTACATCTATTTCTCCTTATGTCACTATCAAACTCGCCTTGCCTTGATTTTGTGAATCTTGGGACTTAAATGCTACTTTTTTTTGCTGCAATCCTTTGTGTACTTCAAGTTTGTTTGTTTTGTTTTGTTTTTCTTTTTAATTTGCATTATTGGGGATTCAACCCAGGGCCTTTTAACATGATGGGGGGTACTGGAGATCGAAATCGGGACCTTGTGCTTGCCAGGCAGGCAGTGGATCCACTGAGCTAAATCCCTGGCCCTTAACATTTTTTTTTTTTTTTTAATTTAGAGACAGGGTCTCACTAAATTCCCCCATCTGGCTCAAATTTGCAATCCTCCTGTCTCAGCCTCCCAGAGTGCTGGGATTATAGGTGTGTGCTACCACACACAGCTATTCACCCAGTTCTAAATGCAGAACAAAAACAGCATACTTTGGCTTGGAAGGGCTCTCAAAGGCCCATGTGTTAAAAGCTTAGTTGCCAGCCTATGGTGCTATTCAGAAACAGCAGTACCCTTAGAAAGTGGGCCTAATGGAAGGAAGTTAGGTCATCAGGTTGCATCCTTGAAGAGGATACTGGGAAGCTGGCCCCTTCCAGTCTCTCTCTTTGCTTCTCAGCCACCATGAAGGCAATAGGCCTCCTCTGACATGCACACCTGCCATGATGTATTGCGTTGCCACAGTATCCAAGTAACAGCCAAACAACCATAGACTGAAACCTCTGAGATAATGATTTCAAATAAACCGTCCCTCCTTATAAATTGATTATTTCAGGTATTCTATCATAGTGACAGAAAGCTATTTAACACAGAATATTTTCCTTGGGCAATTAAAAATGTTATTCTTAAAAAAAAAAGTTATTCTATCACATTATACAAGGAAGCTTCCATGATTTGCTTCTGCTTCCTGCCTTGTTATTTCCTAATTGTGGGGGTAGCAGTCCTAGGGTTCCAGCACCAGTTTTAAACAAATGCACAGTTTCCCTGTGCGTGGGATACCCATAGTTGAAGCAAGCAGACAGACAGCACAGTGTTTTCTTTGCACAGATGGGGATTAATTTCTGAGCCACACAAAGGCATTAATTTTTGTAAATCATGAACAATTCATCTCATGGCATTTGAATAAATTGACTTCAACTGATTTAAAATAAAAAATAAACACAGACAAATGCAAACAAGTACAGATGCAGAGTCATTGACTCTATTTTGCTTAGAAACTAGCAGATCTAGGGAAGCATCCGCCTAAGGAGGATTATGTGTTTCCTCTGTAAGGGAAAAGGCAATGGTTTCATCTATGTGCAAATCACTAACTGGGGAGACAGGGGATTTTACAAACCACAAACTTAAGCTAAAATTGAGAATGATGCTGTGATCCAATATAAAACAATCCAATCAGAGGAAGAACAGAGGGTGACTGAAATATTTCTAAAACTTTGTGTCTCCATAGACAGCGACTGATTCTTGGGAATACAGGGAAGCTGCTGACTCACCTCACCAGTGAGATGAGTCACCTGGAAAAGCTCCCTGCCCTTGGGACAGGAAGGTTACTGGAGGAACAGTATCTCACAAATGACATTTTAGCTTTTTTTTTTTTTGGTACTGGGGATCAAACTCAGGACCCTGTGCCTTGGAGGCAGGCAGCAGCACCACTGAGCTAAATGGCCAGCCCACACAAAAGACATTATAGAACTAGTGTTGTCACATAGAGGTGGTTCCTACCACCCAGCTTAGTGTGTGCTCCAATCTCTTCAGAACTAATCGTTAACACCCATGCTTTCCTCTGAAAGATCAGGAACCATAGCCCTGGCAATCTAGCAAAGGTCAGAAAGTTCATGATGACTGCTTACCAGTGCCCTCTGCTGATAGATAACCTCACACATGAAACACTTACATGTCTTAGCTATAGTCTCCAAAGAATCCAAAATAGATTGGCTTCTTGAACTGAGGCGTTCCTCAGACTTGTCCACAGATGTCTGCAACTAAGAAATCCAAAAGCAAAAAAAAACAAAAATCACAGAGTACTGGTTTATTTTAGTAACTTGGAGAATTGTCATTTAACAATAAAACAGGGTAGTTAAAATATTGTTATGGTAGTTAAAATATTGTTATTTTCCATGAACTAAAGCTGATACATTATAATTTGGCAGGGAGCTTTTTGAGACAGGGTCTCACTATATAGCTCGGCCTGGCTTTAAAGTCAGTCACTATGTATGGCTTCAAACCTGTGGCAATCTGCTTGCCTCAGCCTCCCAAGTGCTGGGATTATAGGCATGTGCCATCACACTTGCCAATACTTTACCATTATTAAAGGTCTTAAACCGGGCGTGGTGGCGCACGCCTGTAATCCCAGCACTCGGGAGGCTGAGGCAGGAAGATTGCTGTGAGTTTGAGACCAGCCTGGGCTACATAGTGAGTTCCAGGTCAGTCTCAACTATATAGTGAGACCCTGTCTCAAAAAAAACAAAAAACCAAACCAAACCAAACAAATAAAGGTCTTAAGAAGTAAAATCTTCTAACTCCTTGAAATGTAGCTATACTTACCCTCTGAATGCTTTCTCTGACCTGGGAAACAAAGTTGTATACAGTCTCACTAGAATAGGAGAAAAAAAAATTTTTTGTGAAATATTGAAACAACATGTAACAGAACTGATTCCATGAATATGGCAGGTGTCCATCTAGGAAACACTGCTTGATCAGAGATGGAACTCAACCTGAAAAACTTCAGGGCCTAGAAGGAAAAAAGTAGAACATTAACTGTGACTATTTTCAAGTAAAATTAATTTTTCTCTTTAAAATCTATATTATATATCTTAAGAGTGAATTTTAGCAGGTTAAGTTTCTACTAAAATAGGGAAGACCAGCTTTTTTTTTTTTTTTTTTTTTATTGGCTTGTTTGTTTTTTTGGTACCAGGGATTGAACTTGGGTCCTTGAGCTGGCAAGGCAGCTGCCAGAACCACTGAGCTAAATCCCTAGCCCAACCAGCTTTTATTTTTACAGCAACAATGACTTCAGAAAGTAGTGGCTTCATTCTAGTCGTCCAAAATTCCTGGACACTTCTTAGTTTTACCATTATACTAACTATAAAAATGAAGTTACTATACAAACAATTCTTTGAGTTTTAACACATGTTCAGGATTTATGCAACAGATATTCACTGTTACAGAAATAATTAGGTATGCTGTCTGTGAAACCTAAAGATGCAGCTTTATAATTTACTACCAACTAACTAATTTCTCTGACCAACCTCCTTACATAAAAATGAATGTAGGTCGCCAGGCGTGGTGGCGCACACCTGTAATCCCAGCACTCAGGAGGCTGAGGCAGAAGGATCGCTGGGAGTTCGAGACCAGCCTGGGCTACATAGTGAGTTCCAGGTCAGTCTGAACTACATAGTGAGACCCTGTCTCAAAAAAACAAAAACAACAACAACAAAAAAGAATGCAGGTGCTGGGAACAGTGCTGCATGCTTGTAATACCAGCATTTGAGAGGCTGAGGCAGGCAGATCACTGAAGTTTGAGGCCAGCCTGGGCCTTGAATTCAAAGCCAGTCCAAAATAAACAGTGAAACCCTGTCTCCAAAAAAAAAAAAAAAAAATGTAGCTGTTGTAATTTATTCATATTCTCATTCTCATTCCCTACTCTAGCCTTGTGCCTCACTATGTGCCTAGGGCTAGTCTTGACTTTATGAGCTCAAGTGACCCTTCTGCCTTAGCCTCCCAGGTGTGGGCCATCATACCTAGTTTAGCAGTCCTAATTCATCTCACTTGTTTGCTACAAAAAATAACACTAGTGAATAATATATATAAAATTCAGAATATACATTAAAAATACAAATATTTTAAAGTGAGAAAATCAGCCTTAACTGTGATTTAACAATTCATGCATTGCTGGATGTGGTGGCGTATGCCTGTAATACCAGTACTTGGGAGGTTGAGGCAGGAAAATTATGAGTTCAAGGCCAGCCTGAATTACAGAGCAAGACCCTGTCTCAAAAACAAACAAACAAAAATTCATGCATTATATTGGCCTAGGGGTTAGTTCAGTAGGGAATATCTTGTCTAGCATGCAGGACAGGCACTGAGTTTGTTACTCAGCACTGCCAAAAGAGAATTCATGTTTGGGCCAGGGATTTAGCTTAGTGGTTCCAGTGCCTGCCTCACAAGCACAAGAGCACAAGTTTGATTCCTGGTAGCAAAAAAACAAAAAACAAACAAACAAAAGAATTCATGTTTGTTTTGTTTTGGAGACAGCATCCCACTCTGTAGTTAAGGCTGGCCTCAAACTCATGGTGATTCTCCTGTTTTAGCCTCCTGAGTGCTGGGATTATAGGCAATGTGCTACCACATCTGCCTTGACTTTATGTATTTTTGCTTTTACTTTGTGTACTGGGGATTGAATCCAAGACCTGCACATGCTAGGTAAGCACTTTATCACTGAGCTACATCTCCAGCCCTTTTAAAATTTTTCTTTTGGATAAGGTCTCATTAGGTTGCATAGGCTGGACTTGTGATTCCCTTGCCTCAGCCTCTTGAGAAGCTGGAATTACAAATATGCACCACTATGATCAGACCATGCTTTTAAAATTTTTCTTGGTATGGAGGATTGAACCCAGGGACTATGTACTGAGCTAAATTCCAAGTCTTTTTCAAAATTTTTGAAACACAGTCTCACTAAATTGCTGAACTGCCAAGGCTGGGATTAAATCTGAGAACCTCCTGTCTCAGCCTCCTAAATGCTAGGATTACAGGCATGTACCACAATGGGCTCATGAATATTCTTGATCTTAAAATAATGTTATCTAATAAGCTAAACCTGATAATCTGAAAAGATAACAAATTAGCAAAATTTTAGACAGAATCAATATCATTTCTGAAGAAATCCTTTTGCAAGATGTAGCAGTGCATGTCGGTAATCCCAGCACTCAGGAGGCTGAAGCAGGAGGATCACTGTGAGTTTGAGACTAGCTTGGGCTACATAGTGAGACCCTGTCTCAAAAAACCAAAAAAACAAAACAAAAAAAAAAAAAAAAAAAGAAAGAAAGAGTGAGCAAGCAAGCCTCTAGCTTTTATCTTTCAGGTCAAAAATTTGCCAGCCTTATTTAAATCTACAATAAGTCACATTGACAAAAATGCACTAGGTATGGTGGCACACGCTATTAGAAGAACCAAAAGGACCAGGTGTGGTGGCACATATCTGTAATCCCAGTTCTCTGGGCGACTGAGGCAGGAGAATTTACTCAGTTTCAAAAAAAAATTTTTTTTTTTTTTTTTTTTTTTTTTTTTTTTTGAAGGTGT